CACACACACACACACACACACACACACACACACACACACACACACACACACACACACACACACAAACACGCACACACACACACACACACACACAAACACGCACATGCACACACACGTTCAATCTACACAATCATATCGGCACACACATACACACACACGTTCCGGCCGTGTGCTCACTCAGTGGATGTAACTGTCGTGTGGAGATGCGTGCGAACCCCAATCGACGCGGCACTCTGTGGGACTTGTTCTAAGTGCGTTGTTTGTGCGAGGCGGATACACAGAGTGGTCGAAGCGTCTTTCAAACGCGTTGCTCGTGCAAGGCAAATGCGTTGTTTGCGCGAGACAAATGCTTTGTCTGTGCGAGGCAAATGCGACGTGGGAGGTGACGTGGAGAGCAACGCGAAAGGTGGAGGGAGACGCGAGCAGGTGGAGGAGTCGCGCGGTACGTCGACGTGACAGAGCAGGTGGAAGGACGTGTGTCCCTTCGTTTTGACAGGAGTTGTGGCCTCGTGCTGCTTGCCACCACTGGCGCTCCCCTGTGTGGGGTGCTGGTGTTGACGGCAGTGGCAGTGCGAGACATCCGTCCAGCAGCATCTTCCTAGCAAAATCGCAGAATGCGGCGTGATTTCCACGGGCGCCGCTCGGTTTTGTAGGCGCGCGGATTTCAGGTCCTCCTCGGGTCTTCCCTTTCGGCGTTGGGTTAGGGGTCCGTGCGTCGCCGTACGACTGTTGGATTCGCGGATCGTGCGATGGCTCCACGTCGAAATTTCCGCGAGGGGGGCCCAATCCGGATGTCATGAAAAAACTGGCCCTTCGGACTGGCCACGTGCGAACGTCATGAAAGAAAGGCCCCCGGGGTTCGTTTCCTTGCGTTTGCTGTGCCCGGTCGCTTGACAAACCGGAGGGGTCGTTTCGGGCAGCGCGCGTGGTCGGTTGATATTTTCCGAGGCCTGATGGGGGTGGCTGGTGGAGGGCCGGGGGGGGGGGCTGGCCAGTGTACATAGTGAAGTTCCTGTCTAGACGTCGATTTTGCAGATCGGACGGCCAACGTTCGTCTTCTCACATGACGTGGGTGCCAATTGGCGCAGGCCGGTCTTTCCGTGGGGTACGATGATATTTTGAGGCGGGCATTGGATGTCGTTGAACAGTTGCCTGGGGTCTGGTGCAGCCCATTTACATCTCCTGCCTGATGAGCGCATTTGCGCGCGATGTCACGTCCGCGACGTCCTCCATTGACTTCGCTGCTCCGCTGTCGCGCCACGTGTCTGCAAGCGTGGGCGTCTCGGTTTCCTCTCATCGTCGCCTCGTTCCCGTCCTTTCGACCGCTCATGTACTCCAGTTGTCGGAGCTTCGACACCCCGTCCTTACGTTCTGCGTCAGCAATTGTCCGCCATCGTGTGAGCTTCGCCCTTGTCGAAGAGCTGCGCCATCTTGTGCGCTTTGCCCTCGTCGAAGAGTTGCGCCTCGTCGAAGAACTGCGCCACGTCGAAGAGCTGCGCCATCGTGTGCGTTTTGCCCTCGTCAAGGTACAGTGGTGTTCTGCCTGCCCACGTGTCAGCCGTCCACCACAACTGTTGGGGTTGGCATTGGGGCACATGCTTGCCGGCATATGATAGCCGCTGCATCGTGCCACGTGCCGCAAGTGGTGGGGACGGTGGGAACGGCTGTCGATGCCATTGGGGCACATGTTTTCTGTTTTTCATTTTTTTCTCACTCTTTCGTTCCTCGCGATCGGCCCCATGATTCCTGCTTGGGTTGGCATTGGGGCACATGGTTTTTGTGTTTCCTTTTCTTCTCACTCGTGCGTTCCTCGCGATCGACCCCCTGATTCCTGTTGGGGTTGGCATTGGGGCACATGGTTTCTGTGTTTCCTTTTCTTCTCACTCGTTCGATCCCCACGATCGACCAGACGACTTGTAACTGCATTGCGTTCCTGTTTTGCGGCAACTACACATATTTCACAAAATGATTTAAACACGGTTGTTGCTTACTCCACTTGTTGCCAAACTGAACATTGCAAAACACTCGCGCGTGGTTGAGTCAAACATTGCAAAACACTCGCGCGTGGTTGATTCAAACACGATGTCGTGTTAACGGTTTATAGGGGTCTTTTGAGAGTCTTGGCTACATGACTGTTCTTCGATTGGCGTTGCCCACTTGCCGCAAAAAGCAGTCCAGTCGCAAGACCCGCAGCAAAAACAAAACGTGTCTTGCTCTTGATCGACACGCACCAATCGCTGTCAAGTTCGGATCCGGGCAGGCTTCGAGGTTGGCACCCGTTCATGGTCACTCTCTGAAGCGACGGGCAAGTTCGGATCTTAGCGAATTTCGTTGAACCCCATAGTCCTGGCTGTGAAACCTACCATTGCCCGAGTGTGAGCTCGCCTTGTCTGTGGGAATAATTGGAGGTCGTAGGGGTTGTTTGAGGGTACATAACAATGGGTTTTGCTTCGGTCCACTAACGCTTAGATGTGGATTTCAGAAGGCGCTCGTCGGACAGTACGACCTCTGCAACCTCGCACGAAAAAGTTTCACCGTCGTGTTTCCCACTGACCAGCCCGTCAAATATGCGAGTTGTCGCGCAAAGACCGGTTCCTCTCTACTCCGGCGCCTGCCAAGTTCGGATCCCGGCGGACTTTGAGGCTCGACGTGAATCTAACCACCCTCTCTAACGGCCTGGACTTTCGCATGTGTTTTGGTAACCAGAGACCGTTGGGTGCGCAAAAGTGCCTGCCTTGAGAATTGCCTTATAGGGGTTCAAGGGGGTTGTTGACGGTGGTGTCGTCATCGACATGCGTGCAATCTGGTCGTTGGCATTCCCGTGTCTCGGTGCGCTTTGCGGTTCGCGCTGTCATATGAATGGCCACCGACCTTCCTTTATTCTCCCATGCCTCCCTCATGTCCTCCAAAGCGGCCTTCTGTGCACACTGCTTAGACATCTTGTGTCTTTTGTTCTCCATGAGACTGACCTTCAAATACCCCCCGAAGTCTTCGTCGGAGAACCAGACGACTCTCGCTGGCCAATACTGCATCTTCGACAATTCGAATATTGGCTCACCGTCCAACTCCTTCACACCAGTCACGGTGTGTTGTCCGTTGACAGGGTAATAGAAGTACTTGTCCTTGTCCTCTGGCTTGAAGACATGTTTGTGAACCCTCTCAGCTTTCTCTGGTCTATGCGTCACCGGCATGTAGATGGGTGCCAGAACCAAAGGGTTTTTCTTCCAGATCTTCCCCTTTTCCTCGTGGAACTGCCTTAGGATCGCTTCCTTGATGTCCTCCACACCATCGCAACTGAGACTGCGGTGGTTGTAATATCTCCCCCACGGCGGAATGTCGCAGACCTTCCTGGGATAGATGAGCAGTTGAACGGGGAGCTCCTTCTCCACAATCTCACCATCATGGTTCCGCTCGTATTCGAAACTGAACGCTGCCGCTTCGTCGTACCGCCCACCGACAGCCCGTTCGCCACCGCTCGCCGCCTCAGCAGTCTTCCTCCTGCGAGGTTTCTTCTGGCCATCGCCTTCTTCAGCTGCCAATTTCCTCTTGGATTTCTCCGAAGGCTCTCTCGCAGCGGCAGCGCCTGGATGAGCCGAATCTCCTCCACCCATAGCGTGTCCTTCGCGGATGGTCAAACCGTCGGGTCTCCTTGCTTTCTTACTTGTCGTTGCACCCTCTTCCTTCGACAACCTTTTTTCGACTCCTAGTTCTTGTCTGCCACGCATCTCTGGCGTCCTCCTTTCCGAGGCACGTTTTCCGACGTCCTTTCATCCTCTTAGTGCGGCGGGTTTCTTCCGCCACCTCTTCTCGCACCATCCTCTGTTGCTCGCGCTTCTTTTCCGAAGAAGTCGGCTCCCTGCCAGAGCGGTCACGGACAGCGTCCATCCCTTCAGCCTCATTCCCTCCAACCTCTTGCCTCGATCTGTCGGATTCTCTTCTCGTCTCATCTCGAAGCGAATACGTGTCGCTCTGGCAGAAGACCTTGAGGATTTTCGGAGTACCGACCCATATAGTCCCTGCATCTGGAAAATGCAAGTTTGACATGTTCCCAGGAGCATCCGAGCCGACCTGCATCTGAATGCCGCCCGCGTGCCCCTTGCCCTGACCCCCAGTGCCGTGAATCGCACTCCTGTACCCCACAGGCGTCTCAGGGTTTTCTTGAGCCAAGCCGGACGACCCCTCATGGGCCGTCAGAAGCCGGAAAACATATTCTCGCGGAAGAACCGGACGTCCTTTTGGGACCTTCAGCGAGAGATCGAGGTATTCCTTTGGCGGCGGGAGACGCTTGCCGTAGCCATCAAAAAGCCTTGCGAAGTGACGGCACAGCGGCATGTTCGACCCGTAACCCGCGAAACGCTTGATGGCCACTATCACGCCCTTAACACCTCTAAAAAGCAGTCTGCACTCGTCGTACAAGACGTTATTGTGTAGTTTTAGCAAACCTCCAGAAATCTTGTCGAACGAGACGATGGTACCAAGAGGAATAACGTCGTCCGCTCCCTCAGCGCCTAGAACCCAAGTGGCGCATGAAAACAGTTGGTCCAACAAGGTTCCCCTGAACAACGAAGTCCAAAAAACATTGTGCATCCCTTGCATGGAGATATGGAGGAGGAAATTGCTGAAGAGGTTGTCCCTCTCCGGGGGTAGACGGCCCAGCGCTTGTGGTTGTGTTCTTCGCGGACGCCATTGTACTCCCACCCCTAGACCAACACGCCAACCGCAGACCAAGTCAGATGACCGGGAGGAAAGCAACGAGGTTTTCCTAACACTACAGAAGCAAAGTTCGAAGTAACTCGGACTTGACGAAATGGAGGACGAAAATGACGTAAGAGATGGGTGTTTGAAATGCACACGAAGTCACAACAACTGGGTAAAGGAGAGGAAATACAACACTCCTCTGGCAGAGTGAGTTCAGAGGGAAGACAACAGTTCCTCGGAAAGAGCCCGAACGAATTCGCTGTCCTAGAAATGAGGAAGAGGTGGTTTATCTTCAGGAAAGTGCGAACTAACTCGGAGTTTTGGGAATAAAGTCGTCTATAACAAGTATCGCATGGGTATCGACAAGCGGGAACCGACTCCCAGTTCTGGGGACAAGGAAACCGACGCGCGAGATTGGTGTTTGAAATACAAACGAAGTCAAAATAATTGGGTGAAGTTGAGGAAAGACAACACTCCTCTTGCAGACAGAGCTCGGGGGGAAGACAACAACTCTTCGGAAAGAGTGCGACCCGACTCGCTGCCCTCGAAACGAGTAACATGTGGTTTGTGTTCGGAAAAGTGCGAACTAACTCGAAGTTCTGAGAATGAAGACCGCTGCAACAAGTACCGCGCGGGTATCGACAAGTGCGAACTAACTCGCAGTTCTGGAGACAAGACAACAATTGCAACCTCTACTTCTGGAAGCGTGAAAGTCACGTTTAAGAAAAGGCGGCTTATCTTGTGGAAAGTGTGAACTAACTCGGAGTTGTGGAAATGAAGACCTGAAACACGCATGACATGGGTGTCTACAAGTGCGAACTAACTCCGAATTTCGGAGACGGAGGGCAACAACTCCTCCAGCAGTGTTGGTGATAAAGTGCGAACTGACTCGCAGTTGTGCAAATAAAGAACTGACTTTAACGAAAAAGGTGTCTAATCTTGGGAAAACTGCGAATTAACTCGCAGTTGTGACTCCTCCAGTGACGACTATATATGTCAGGTCGGCGACGTCACAAGGGACAGGTGAGTGAAAATCGAGAATTGATTCGGTGTTCAACAAAAACTGGGTGTTGCTTCGGGGTTCACCATGCGCAGTGATGACTATAAGTTGTGAAGGGAATCGAGCAGCTTTATACAAATGTTCTCATGGCTATGGCAAAAGGTAATGGAGCTACGAAACGCGGATCGGCTATGGCAAACGGAGGTGGAGGGTGAAGAAAAGACATCAAAACACATCCGCTGGCGAAACAACAAAATAGGGAATTGATTCGGGGTTCAACATGTGGCAACTGCGACATTATATCCTGCAGATAGAGACAGGGCATCTGGGAATCTGTTCGGACATCGGACACAGAATAGGACAACTGAAGTTACTGAATCTTACCTTCGTCGTGCGTTGAGCAAACGACCAACGTCGGACGGATATGGATGGATGTACGACCACCGAACCAGCTACGGTGGAGGGATATCGAGCTACGAAGAGCGAACCGGCTATAGCGAATGGAAATCTAGGCACGAAGAGCGAGCTACGGAGAGCGAACCGAACACAATGCGGCAACTGCGGAGGGAGCGAAGAGCGAAGAACGAACGGACTATGGCGGAAGGAGGTGGGGGGTGAAGACAAAATATCAGAACGAGCGCGGAAGCGATAGCGCGACTTAACCTGTGGAGCGGCAACAAAAGGGATAACACGAGGGCGGCAACGCCTTTTATACTTTCCTGCAGCAGGCCTCGCGTCGGGATCAATTGTCCGATCGCGATGGGATTCGTGCAGGAGTGCATTCGCAGCGTGGGGTGGCCGAGTGGAGCGGGAATGGAGCTATGGCGGACGGGAAGACGAGTAGCGTGCTCAATTCTTGAGAGAATCGAGCGGGGTAAGAAGTTATCACGGGGTTTTGGCCCCGGGCGAACGCAATGGCAAGGTTGGATTGAGGAGATAGGCTAGTAATTTAGAGGCTAGTGAGAAACAAGCTCCGCAGAGCTATGGCGGGGAGGAGAGAACGCAGGGAGCGAAGAATCGATATTCCACTCGATTCTTGATGGATTCTTGATGGAATCAAGTGGGAGAAGATAGTAGATTAGCGTTTTGGGCCTGGGCGAGCTTAGTGACGAGATTAGTTTCGATGTTAGATTAGTGAAATGGGAGTTAGTAAGAAATTAAGTCCCGCGAGAGGTGGCGGGAAGTGAAGAAGAGGAAGAGAATCGAGTCTTCATTCAAATCTTTATAAAGTCGAGTGAATGGAGGGGTTAGAGTATGGTTTTAAGGCACTGCGAATTAGTAAGTGAGGTTGGATTTGGGAAAATAACTGTAGGATTTGGGCTATGATGAGTATAGTCTGCATCCAGGGGAGTAGTTAGTTTTGTCTGAATGCGGAATGAATCTAACTGCATTTGCGGGCAGATTCACATCGCTCTTGTATATCCTGTTGGAACAAGCTGCGTGAGGCCGCGACAAGGATGGAAAGGTACCCATTACTTGTCACATGCGCGTCCTTGGCGATTATTGTCAAGGAATGGGTCGTTAGCTTTTGCAGCGTAGAGTGCGAAGAGCTCCGGGGGGCGGGGGAATGAAGTACTTACCCGGTTAAGCGCGACGAAAGCTGCAGGGCAGGGGCCTCCCGTTTCCCAGCCTTCGTCCTGCCGACCACTGAGTGAATCCGGTACAGCGAACGGCCAGAGAGAGAGAGAGAGAGAGAGAGAGAGAGAGAGAGAGGAAGGGAGGACTCACCACATCCGCAGCGCGCACACTTGGAGGAGATCAGTGACGACTGACATAGTCAAGCCAGAGGAGCTAACCACTGTTACGGACCACGGCGCTGAGCTGCGTGCGGATCCAACGGAG